GCTCTGTCCTGCCTGGGACATGAATTATTTACTTTGTCCAGTATATTCACACTGTATATGCTACCTGTTAGTCACTTGTCAGGTGGCTTGTCACAGCGTCACAGCACTTATGTTCCAGGAACCCCTACATTACTAATAATGGCAGTAAAATGCAAGAGTAATCATCCTGGCAATTTAGCTACATCAAAGAAGCCACAAAATGCTTCCTTTAAATGAAAAGGTAAGCCAGGCATTGTACATGCCTGCAATCCTGGCACTAAGGAAGCTGAGACAGGAGGACCACCGCAAGTTCAAGGCCAATCTTGGCTACAGTGAATTTAAAGCTATCTCAAGACCCTAACTCAAAAAAAAAAAAAAAAAAAAAAAACTAAGCACTTATGTTCCAGGAACCCCTACATTACTAATAATGGCAGTAAAATGCAAGAGTAATCATCCTGGCAATTTAGCTACATCAAAGAAGCCACAAAATGCTTCCTTTAAATGAAAAGGTAAGCCAGGCATTGTACATGCCTGCAATCCTGGCACTAAGGAAGCTGAGACAGGAGGACCACCGCAAGTTCAAGGCCAATCTTGGCTACAGTGAATTTAAAGCTATCCCAAGACCCTAACCCAAAAAAAAAAAAAAAAAAAAAAACTTGAAAAGATGAAAGTTGCTAATAAAAGAAAATTTTCCTATGCTGCAGTTGCTAAGATCTACAGTAAGAATAAATCCATGAAGTTGTGGAAGAAAAAGAAATGTGGGTTTTGCTGGCAAACTTCAAATATGTGCCAAAAGCATTTGGTTAATATAAAGAAGGCTACCATGATCTCTACCTGGAGTTAGAGATCCCAGCACCTCAACAAGAGATGGAGAAGTCATTAAATTTATGGGCAGAAGATACAAATAGAAAACGTGTTCGACCGACAGCAATGTGTTGCACCAGAAAGCATGGAACCTTTGGGCAGACTTCAGCAAGGAATCCCAAAACTAGATACTAAGCCACTTTCACCAAGTAAGAGGTGGTCACACAGGTTTAGGAATAGGCTTGAAGTGAAAGTAAGAAATTAGTGGAGTTGTGTCTGCCAATGAAGCTTCTGCCACATTCCCAGCAGAGTTGAAGAGAAACACACCATCCACCGAAGGCCTTCGGCTTTGATGGACATGTGCTAACTCTGGTATTGTGTGGCAATGATGTAGGCAATATGATAAAGCTAGTGGTAACGTGCAGACCCACACACACCCTCAAAAACAAAACTTCTACCTTCTATAACTTATGATAGTATAGCTCTAATTGTTATTCCCTTACCATGCCTAACTTAGGAATGAAAACGTATCATGGAAATACATGTATAAGAATAAACAGGGTTAGGGTTCAGCACTACCCATGGTCTCAGGGACTACGGAGGGTCTCCAAATGTATCCTTTGAGGACAGGGGCCTGAAGCTTGAGGGGCAGGTAGGCCCTACCATAAAGCAGGGCTGCTCGTGTGCCTCGGCTGCAGGAACAGGCTGACCATGTGCACATATAACCAACCAGAAGGATCCGGAGCTGAAAGAAGCGACTGAGTGATGTGCTTCAGGGAGCGGCTTCCTTGGAGAATGCCGACTTCACTGTAGAACCACACCCCGAATTCGAGCGACCTCCTGCCTTGGCTCCGTTGGCCCACTCTGCAGGAGAGCCACTGGCCACCTTCTGGAAGAGTCACAACTGCCCATGGAAGAACAGCTTGGAGGGGTGAAAGGCTGTAATGGCCCAGATGCTTCAGTATCTGTTAATCTTTCCCACACGGTGCGTTCCCAGTATGCATTTTATTTTATGTGCTGAGGACCCTTTCTAGTATATGAGGTACAATGAAAATATAGATCCAATGTTTCAATTTAGTAAAATTTACTACGATAAAAGACACACTGCCATGAAACCCTCACTTATCCCTCTCACTTGTCCTATTTTTCGTCCTTGTCACTTCCTGAAGCGTTCTAGAGGTCCTCCCGCTGTGCTCGAACTGCGGTGAATGCGGCTGCCAAGGTGCCGTCCGATGCAAAGGCAGGCTTACAAAAATATGGTGCCACATGCTTTACTCACCAAATCCGGTACTGTACGACTTCTGTTTCTTCCCCTAAGTCAAAGTGATCATGAATAAATATCTTGAATTGACTAAGATGGAGGCAGCCATTCCAGCACAACTAAAGACACTCACAAAAAAGGACTTCCAGAACTGCTTCAGAAAGTGGCAAAACAAGAAGGCATATGTTCAAAGTAAGGGAGAATTAATGATAATGTGTCCTTTACTGTAATAATTTTGGGGAGAGGGTGTGGTACCAGGGATCAAACTCAGGACCTTGCACTTGCCAGGCAGGCGGTGGCACCACTGAGCTAAATCCTTGGCCCTAGTGTAATAACTTTTTAAATTTTGCCAATTTCTTTTTATCATACTGTATATTCAATCACACCATAGAGTGGGATGTTAGCTCCTTTGGTGTTAGAGCATCAGGGTATCAGGAAATGTAGCCCAGCTGTCAATTAGAATGAAACCCTTAATGTTCAGGGAGTTTTTATATATTTTATATACACATATGAAAGTGGGCTGTTTAAGGCACTATTCACTCATCTTTTACCTTTACCGGACAGTTGACATTTCCTTACTACCACCTAGCATTCTGTACTGTTTACACAACTTAGCAATTATGTCCCTAAATATTTAACTGTTAATTATAAATTTTTTGGAGGGATCTTGCTATATTGTCCAGGCTGGCCTCGAACTCATGGTGATCCTCCTGCCTCAGCTTCCCAAGTGCTTGGATTACAGATGCGTGCAGCTACGCCTGGCTGGTTTTTTTGTTTTTGTGTTTGTTTTTGTTTTGAGATAGGTGCTTGCTATTTAGTTCAAGTTGGCCAGGTTGAACTCCTATGTAGCCCAGGAGGCTGGCCGCAACTCATGATCCTCCTGACTCAGCCTCCGGGGTGCTACGATTACAAGTGCATGCCATCATGTCCAGAACTGTAAACTCGTTTAATCAAAATTTAATTCTTAATATTTCATAAAGGAAAAAAAAATTCCTCTTCTCCTTGCACTCACCCATCTCCCCAAGTCATTTTGTGCTGCCCAATAATTTAAGCATGAATTTAAGAATGCAAGACCCTTTCACAGCCACAGGCTGTTTATAACCAAAAATGACTTTTCTCCCCCTAGTAAACTAACTGCACAACCTAATGTCCTCTGATCAAAATTCAGATCCCTTCTGACTTTTGTTGTTGTTGTTGTTGTTGAGACAGGGTCTCACTACATAGTTCAGAAGGACCTTGAACTCATTATGTAGCCCAGGATGGCCTTGAACTTGTGGCGATCCTCAAGCCTCAGCCTCCTAAGTGCTGGGACCACAGGTGTAAATCACCACATCCAGCCCTTCTGGCTTTCTATTACTACACCTAATGAAAAGTCCATCCTTTATTTTTTCCCAAGTAATGGGCTTTGAGTCCAAGGAACACTGAGCCACATCCTCAGACCCTCTTTTACATTACATTAATCTGTTTGCAGTACTAGGGATTGAACCCAGGGTCTGTGCACTGAGTAACAACCCCAGTCCTTTGTTGTTGTTTTTTGTTTGTTTTGTTTTTTTATTCTGAAACAGGGTTTTACTAATTCTCTGAATTGCCTAGGTTGGCCTAGCATTTATACCTCACCCTCCTAAACAGGTATGTACCTCTAGGTCCAATGAATTCACCTACATAAGGAAAAATTGTTAAACACTCAGTAATAAACATGAATTGCTGCTGAATCAAACCATATGCTTGCCTCGTTATATAAACATCAAAATTCAGAAGCCTTACACAGATTGAAGAGAATGGAGGTAAATGTTAAGGTTTAAGACTGCCAATATTAGCAGGTGAAAAAATAAACCGCATTAAAGGTGGAGAGAGAGGCAGTGTTAAGAAAGAAGATCAAGAGATGAAGGACTGTCACCACAAAGCTGTGGACCACTTTCCATGGATTTCATAATGGAGGAAACTAATTTAATTAAGAAAGCCCTTGATATCCAAGCTGTTCCACATGAAGTACTGCTAAAGTTGAAAGGGGAAACATATTTCCCTTTGCTAACATCAGAATTATTTTCATGGCTAAGGTCTCTCGGCCTAGCCCCCAGAATAAGCAACTGGCTGCCAACACTGGCACACAGGACCATTTCCCCTCTTGTTAATGGGCCATCAACTCCTGTGTAGGGCAGTCTTGCCTTAACTAATGATGCACAATCCATTTACTTCTTCTACATTAGTGACTTCAAATGCACCTTGGGGAGACACAACAGAACAGCAAATATGGAGCCAAGCCAATCTGAGGCTCGCAAAGACGTAGGAAAAGAGGTAGCATGGAGGACAAAGTTTAAAAAATAAAGCCTAGCAGGATGTGTGCACAGGCGGGTGTGGGGAGGTGGGACCCATCCTCTGTCAATTTGCTGAGGCAGATGGGCCCTGCTGTGAAAGATGCCCCCTCCTGGGAAAAAAGCCAGTAGGTTGCCTCCTCTCTCCACAGCTACATATTAAGCCTGCAACTGTTTACATTCAATCTCAGATACATTCGGCCCACCAGCTTCAGAGCACAAGTGCAGGTGCCCTAAGTTAATCATCCCAGCTCACTCTAGAGTCATTTCCAGCAGTGAAGGATGATCCAGGCAGCCAGCCAGCCAGCCGCATGTTTTTTTTAATCTGCACCATTGTAGTCTCCAAAGACTAGTTAGTTTAAAGTCTCCTTTTTGTTTAAAGTACCTTCTTCAAACAAGAGGATAACAGTCATAGGACAAATCTAGGGCTTCAATTTGAACAAAGAGAGAAATGAATGAAAAAAGAAGAGACATACTCCTGAAGGTAGTAAGATTGGATTGGGTCCACACAGCAGGAAATGAAGATGAAAATGGACTCAAAATACTTTGAAGAAAGATGTTTTCTAAAGGGGCACTGAAAGTTACTGTCCAGGACAGGAAAACCAACTTCACATTCATTTTGAAAAAACTCTTTATTTTTTCCCCAAATATTACTCTAAATAAATGTCTTACAGACAGGGTTAATTTGAGTCAGAAACAGTCTATATTAGAAAAACATTTTTACAGACATTAGGAATAATTTTAACAGAAGATGCTCACATTAATCATAGCCGTGGCTAGGTTCCACAGAAAAATTTCAGCATCCAAAGTGCAAAGACAAAAATGACTGACTTTTCTTGCCACGTGAAATACTGATAATCTTCCTCTACAGCTACCCTTAATTGTTAGTGAGATGCCACACAGACAGCATACTGACCTTTAGAAACAGGGCTCAGCTGGACAAGGAGTGGGAGGTCAATCATCAGAATGAATTCAAGTTTGAAGAACAAAATAGCTTTGACACCAATCAACCCAAAAGTCCAGCCAAAGGTCCAACAGCGGTTAAACACTAGTTGGAGTACCACATTTACAAGGCTGTACCATTTTATACTAGTATGACCTAATCAAACCAAATTAAAGCTAAGCACACCTCATCACTAGTTCTGGAAGGCTCCACACTATTTAGCTCAATCCATAATGGGAAAGGGAAATCCTGAGCCACACTAATCTCTTAAATCCTTTCTTAACCCTCTTTACCTGCCCTCCCACTTCCCACCCTGAGACAAGTCAGTCTTAACAAAGAAGGAGAATTTGTCATTGTCTCATGAAAATTACTTCTCAGTGACACAAAAGTCATTCCACGAGCAGCATTTGGCTTTAGGCCAAAGGGATGCCCTCCACCCCAAAAAGAACCAGGACAAATTCCACATTACCCCTCTATTATATAAAAATCTCCAACCTAAAAGCGCCAAATGACAACCAGCACAAGGTGCTAATATTATATTACTGGAGAAGAAAAAAAGGGATATATACATATACATAGTTTTAATAAAACCCTCATGCACAATTAAACTTAATTAAAAGCCTGAAGAATGCTAAAAGTAGTAATGAGTAGAGAAGGCTTCAGAGCAGGGTGCCCCTTCTTGCAGTTGGTAAATGCTGGGAAGAAACAGGCAGGCATGGCTTTCTTTACTTGAGCATTGGAGAAGCAAAAAAGTTGCCTTGTCGTCCTAGGTTGGTGGCAGACTTGGTTTTGCTCCCGAACCTATAAAAAATGATTAAAAAACCCAAACTATTTGACATAATCAATTAAAAGTAGGAAATCCTAGACAACTATTTTAAGGCATTCTTATTTACCTGAAATGAGAGAGAAGAAGTAAAAACTTTCAGATCCTTTCTTAAGAAAGGGACCTATGGCTCTGAGCTTCTTTGTAAAGTCTAGTTGCTAGCCTAAGATCCAGTCTGATTTTTGTTATACTAAACTTCTAAAATGCTAGGAAAGAAGTCTAAGGAAGTAGTAAATGTTACTTATAGAGAAAGCCAATTCTACATACCTCGGGGTGTTCCTGGCAAGGGTAGAGCGAACTCTCTGAGACAGGGAGCTTGAAGAAGGAGTCTTGAGAAGCTGGTGCTCAGGAGTGGTCACAGGCCCCAATAAGCTCACTTCAAACAAAGTTTAGGGATACTTTTAAAAGGGGGTGGGGGAGAAACTACCCTTGAAGATGGTCAGTTTTTGTTTGTTTATTTTTTGGTACCGGGGATCGAACTCAGGACCTTGCACTGCGAGGCAGGAGGCAGAACCACTGAGCTAAATCCCCAGGCCTATCTGTTTTGTTTTTTGAGACACGGTCTCACTATGCAGTTCAGGCTGGCCTTGAAGTCCTGGTGATATCCTCCTGGCTCAGCCTCCCAAGTACTGGGATTACAGGCGTGCAACACCATGCCTAGTGATGGCCAGTTTTAAACTGACTAGCTTCTGAAGCATATAAGAGCTATGGTTAAACACCTAGGAAAGTCCCACAGATCATTTTTGTTATTGTTCGGTGACATGCTGGTATTTCCTGTGAACTACACAGGCTCAATAGCAACTGACTTCAACTTGCTCACTTCCACCATTTTCAAACACCAAACTTCATGTACCTGAATATTTAATTTTTACACTAGAGGAAACAATATGCTTCCTTTAAAAGGAACTTGCACTGGGCTGGGGATTTAGCTCCGTGCTGCCACACCTGCCTCTCAAGTACAAGGCCCTAAGTTTGATCCCTAGTATGAAAAAAAAGAAAGAAAAGAAAAAAGAAAAAATGGGTCTCTAACGCCAGTGAAAATACCTTATTCATACAAATTGTTGGTGACAACATAGGCAAAAAGCCTCTAAGAAATCAAGAAACAAAAATGATTAACATGTTCCTGCCGGCTTGAACCACTGGTGGTTACATGCATGACTATTCCAGCCGGCAGTCTTTACCATTAGTAATAGAAAGGGAATGGTCACTAAGGTACCCCTGGTGGTTCAAGCCACCTGAAAGTGAGACATATGAATTACGGACCTGTCATGAATGTGTTAAGTCTTTAATTTAGTGATTCCCACTCTTGCAAATTTATTATTAGGGCATATGTATATAATGTTGGCTACAGCATTATGTGTAACCATGAAAAAATTGAAAGTAACGTCAATATCTAACAGAACACTTAAATAACTTATTTTTTACAACCATTAAAGCGTTAAGATTATATAGTAGCAGGGCCGGGGATTTAGCTCAGTGGTGCCTATGCCAGCCTCATAAACATAAGGTCCTGAGTTTGATCCCTGATACCGGGCGGAAAAAAAAAAAGATTACATAGTAGCAGATGCATTCCTGTAATTACACATACTCAGGAGACTGAGGTAAGATCACAAGTTCAACGTCAGTCTAGATAAGTTGGTGAGACTGTCTCAAAATTTAAAAAAAAGAAAGAAAAGAGAAAAAAAAGGGCTTGGTATGTAGCTCAGTAGTACAGAACTTGCCTAGCATAAATAAGTGTGGTTCTGGGTTCAATCCCCAGGACCACATATACTATTAAAAAGATCATACAATAAGAGAAAAACAATTCTCATAATATGCCAAGTAGAGTAAGAACAAATTATATCTAAACTACTATTATCTACATTAAAGATAAATCCAGGAGTTGGAAATATAGATTAGTGGTAGGCTGCTTTCCCAGAACACATGAGGCTCTGCATTCAATCCCCAGCACCACCAAAAATAAAAGGAAGAAATACATCCATATAAATAAAAGTATACAAGGAAAAGTGAAAAAAATTAGGATGTTGAGAATATAGAAATTTTCCTTTAGTGTTAGAATTTTCAAGGTAGATTTAACTTTTATTGAAGAATATGAGTTTTAAACAGTACTATAGCAAAGATGAGGAAAACAATACAGTACATAACAGACTAAAAAGAGACAAGTTCCCAAAGAAGCATGACTTAAGCCTGACCTTTAACGTCTGGTGTCTGTGGTGTTGAAAATGCATTTGAGTTTTCAATGACCTGCAGGGGGTCAATGTTCTCTTGTTCCACAATCATGAACTGACTCCAGTATTCCAGGGGCAATAAAAGCAGGCGCTCTACCACCTAAAGAACACCAAAAATACAAACTTCCAAAGCTTAAGGCTTACTTTTCATCATTCTTTTATGTTACCACACTGCTCAAGTTCACACAAACACACCTACCTTGGGTTGACGCTTGATGTCCTGTAGCATTGTCATTGGGTCTGGATTTGGCACAGCATGGGCGACTATGGTAGGGCCAAAGACTTTAGCCAGATTGGAAATATCCATTTTAGTGCTTGGACTCTGAGCCACTCTAAGCAAAAGAGTATTAAATTAAAGCCCTACTCTTTCACTTAAATGCAAACCAAATATAAGTTCTACAAGAAAACAATTCATCTCTCACACTCCCTAATGCTTGTCCCACATTATCTTCTTCTTGGAAAATTCTCTAACTCCCAGAGCAAGTTTCTGCTGTACTCACCTTTGCAAGTGAATCATAAGGAAGGCTAATGTGTCCCTATTGGCCTGGGGCAATTCACCAACAGCCTGGTACATGGCAGCTATGCTGTTGTCTTCATCTGTGATTTCTGTAAATGAAAAGAGTTCACTAAGAGAGTCTAGACTTCTTTTCCTTGACAGCAGCCTTCCAAGATATCGACCACAAAGTCTCATCTATACAGTATGCTTCTGAAACTTCTGATTAGGTTCGTGACTGCATCAGACTCTAGTTTCATTAACAAACAGAACACTGGCCAACAGCTCAATATTAGAAGTCAGGACTTTTTACAAAATCACCCTTGTAGTTAGGAAAAACAGCTGGTAACCTATTTGCTAGGAAAAAAAGACAGCCAACTACAGTGGCAATTACCAAGAAGGTAATCATTGATAAGACATGTTTAAGGGCCTACTGTACTGTGTACCAGGTAATATTCTAAATGTTGAGGATAAAGAAAATAGAATGTCATTGCCTCATAAAACATACATTGGAGGAGTTAATCAAAACACAAATACAGGGCTGGGGATTTAGCTCAGTGGTTCCAGTGCCTGGCTCACAAGCACAAGGAGTACGATCCCCGGTACCAAAAAACAAAAAAAAAACAAAACCACAAACACATCTCCGGTAGTGATATATATATATATATATATATATATAAT